CCTCTCTTTTTGTTAAAGATGCTGGGTATTGAATCCAGGGGCTTCACATATGCTTGGCTAGGCAAATGCTTTACCACAAAGCTATACCACTCAGCCTCTATTATTTATATTTCTTTGATTACTAACAAAAGCCAAATATTTTTTATATGTTAAATTGACTCTTTGCATAGCTATTTCTTTCATGGATTGATCCTTTGTGTCAGTCCCCTATTCAGTGGGGTTTTTGTTGTCTGGGTTTTTGTTGTTCTGATCAAGCATATGTTGGGAATACAGGTATTCCTGTTAGGTGTTGGGTTTTATATTTATATAATCAGGCACATCATTTCTTTATGATTTCTGACTTTGGGGTCTGGAAACCAAGAAATCTTAGACATGGTTAAGATAAAAGCAAAGATAGTTTTATTTAGGTGCAGAATAGATTTATAAATCAGGAGCACAGACTCAGTTAGATAGAACCAACATTACACAAAGGAGAAGGTGAACTTGTGTTTTTTGGGGGGTTGTTGTTTATTTATTTTTTATTTATTTTTCTTTTTTGGTACTAGGGATTTAATCTAGGGGCATTTAACCACTGAGCTATATCCACACCTTTTTTTTTTTTAAATTTTGAGACAGCTTCTCACTATATTGCTTAGGACCTTGTTAAGTTGCTGAGGCAGGCCTCAAACTTGTGATCCTCCTGTCGGCCTCCTGAGTTGTTGGGATTACAGGCATGTGCCATCCCACCTGACTGAACTTGGGGTTTTACAATAAGTGGGTAGTGCATTTCACCATACTTTAAAGGGGAAATAAAAGTTCCATCGTATCAGATGACTGGATCTCCTGAACTTTCTCTTAAATTTCCTTTATTGGGGAGAGAGTGTACCAGGGATTGAACTCAGGGGCACTCAACCCCTGAGCCACATCCCCAGCCCTATTTTGTATTTTATTTAGAGACAGGTCTCACTGAGTTGCTTAGCACATCATTTTTGCTGAAGCTGGATTTGAATTTGCCATCCTCCTGCCTCAGACTCTCAAGCTGCTGGAATTACACGCATGCACTTCCATCTTTAAGCTGATGGGCACAAGAAATACAACTTGAAGGTTAAGGGAATTGGCAGAACTGGGGGGAAATAATATTTTCCACAATTTGTACAGTACTTGTATAGCATGTGAATAAGTATTTCCAAAGTTGTGGTCAACTCTTCAGACTATACTAGAAGCATTATACAACTTCACATCAGTCATTGCCAATTTCATTTAGTGGCCTCCTTTCCCTTTGGGAACTATTCAGAAAGTTACTATTTTCTTTTACAACTACTCACTCAGGCCTCTTCCACTGAGGAAAGCAGGCAAAGTGCATACTGTGTGTCTCCTAGAGAAGATTGCATCTTTTATTTACCACCCTTGGCTTTATTTTCACAGTGAATTCCTGGCTTAAATGTAATCAGCCAAGAAACCCTCCCTATGTGCTCCCAGTTATTCCTCATTACTTGCAAGGAGAGTTAAGCCCAGAGGAAAGGAAAAAAAATTCAACATTGCCAGCCAAGCCATAAAAGTGTGCATTCTAGTTTGTTATATACTGAGAAACCATAGATGTGCTTCAATCCCTTTCAAACCTGCAGGAAACAAACAAACAAAAAGGTATAACTTTAAAGAATGCTAATTGGATGTTTAAAAGGGAGGAATGGAAAAAAAAAAGATGGATAGCCTCAAAGGCTAACCACCTCTGAACAGAAGGGAAGGGTGCTGAGCATAGAAAAGGCAACACTGAGGCCTGCAGAAAATCACACTTGCAGATTGCATTGGAATTCAAGCCAACCAGCCAGGATTAAAGCAAATCTTAATTCTCCCTTGGGGCCAATATCCAGACCCCCACTGAAGAAGAATGATAAAAGGTACTGACTAAAGGGCAAAAGACTACATTAAAAAAAAAAAAAAACAGAAGCTTCCAAAATCTATCCCCATTCATTTGGCACAGTTTTCACTACCACAGTTTCAACTAGACTAACATGGGAAGAGGTTAGAAAATATACAATTGCAATCAGGAGAAAAATATAGGGAGAGAGTATTTTCGCTATAGCATTGTTCATTTCAGTCCACTTCAAGCATCCCCATCACTATGGCTGGAAAAGATATCTGGATGGAGAAAAAAAAATTGGAGGTGAAGGAGCAGGGGATGCTTTCAAACAATATTTTAGAGAACTTTCATGGTCTGTCAGACAAAGGAGGGCTGTGTGGTTTTAAGTCACAAGTCCCTCTTTTGCCTTTTTCAAATATCTTTACAAGCCCAACTTGCAGAATGTTGTTTATTAGCTGCTCTCCAGCCACAAAATACCTGGACAAAAAGGCCATTGGGTCTAGTTGCTGCCTTCTAGGACCCAGGTTTCTGTGGTGGCCGCAGCAGCAGCAGCAGCTCTCGCATTCCCATTTTAACTTTTTGGAGGTTTTTTGTTGTTTTATTTTTGTTTTTCTGTGGTGTTGGATATGGAACCCAGAGCCTTGCCCATGCTAGGTACAGGCTCTACTGTGCTACTACCCTAGCTCCTTGTTTTGAGTTTTTAGGGTGGAAGAACTTTTGAAAGGACGGTTCATTTTACCTTGTATTAGTTGTAATTACATCCACACTTACTAGACTTAAAAAATTTTGTGAGTTCCCAAATTTCATCTAATGAATTGTAATGATTATTGGAATTCCTCTTTCAGTGAGCAGCTCTTTATGCAGATGGCAGAGCTCATGGTCTCAGATGGCTGGAAGGATGCAGGTTATGAGTATGTCTGCATTGATGACTGTTGGATGGCTCCCCAAAGAAATTCATTAGGCCAACTTCAGGCAGACCCTCAGCGCTTTCCTGGAGGGATCCGCAGACTAGCTAATTATGTGAGTTTGTAAATGATTTTTTTCATTTGGAGTCTGTAAGCACTTAGTCATAAAAGCTTGTTGAGAAACAGTCCTCATGCCACTTTGGAAGTTGAATGGCTGCTGTTATCTGAATTGTAAGACTTATCAGGTGGAATTTTCATCCCATCAGCACATACATATTTTGCAGTAGCTCATGAGGCCCATCTTGGAGAAGTTCTTCTTTTACTGAAACCACTGAAATCTCTAGGAGGAAAAAGGAACTTGGTTCTTGTCATATGTATGCATATATTTCCATATAAGCTTTAGGCTGCTATTACAATTGTATTACAAACCAGAATTTTAGAAGACACAAATGTTCTGGATATTATTAAAGAGAAATACAGCCCAACACTAGCTAAAGATGACAGATTTTATTTAGTAATATTGCAGAAGGGGAAAGAGCCAAGTTCAAATCCAAAAGCAACAAAGATCAGTGAAGATTCATACCAGTAAGCAAATTGAGGATTGAGAGGGTCAGTAGATGGAAAACTACTAAAAGATGTCAAAGGTGAGGGGATGACTTAGCAGGATTCTTGCTAAAACTGGGACATTAGAACACAGTTGAGGCTTGTCCTTGGAAAGGTACATTTTAGGATTCCAACAGGAATATTCTAGTGGCTGACAGCTTTCTCCTCAGTTCTGTTCTGTAAGTCACATGTATGATTTGAACTTGTCTCAGAAGAATTGGGGGATTTGTTCTTTGCCTTGCAACAAATTCATCTGGAAAATTGGGGGGGGGCAGTAGTGGGGGAAAAAACTCTCCAATATCTGATGAAGAACACTTGTCTGTTCCCTCAGTCTAAAGTGGTAATTTTTTTTCTATACTTCTTGATTGCCCTACTATTGTGGTGACTCTTTCTTCTCATTTCAGGTCCACAGCAAAGGACTGAAGCTAGGGATTTATGCGGATGTTGGAAATAAAACTTGTGCAGGCTACCCTGGGAGTTTTGGACACTATGACATTGATGCTCAGACCTTTGCTGAGTGGGGAGTAGATCTGCTAAAATTTGATGGTTGTCACTGTGACAGTATAAAGCATTTGGCAGATGGTATGTTTTATTCAAGGGATTCAGCCATGAGCAAAGGGAAGAACTTTGAGGCCAAGGTAGCTGAGCATTCAAAGAACTAATCTTCAGATTTTATTTATTTATTTATTTATTTAATATTTATATTTTTAGTTGTAGTTGGACACAATACCTTTAGTTTATTGATTTATATGTGGTGCTGAGGATCGAACCCAGAGCCCCTCACGTGCCAGATAAGTGCTTTACCACTGAGCCACAAGCCCCGCCCCCAGATTTAAATATTCAGTTACAGCATAATTATTCTCAACTCCCACCTCTTTCAGTTTGTTCATTCATTCATTCATTTATGTTTGTGGGTCCATGCATGCCTAATTGTAGTTAATATTGTGCACTTTTAACTCAAAAGGGTTCTAACAGTTCATTATAATTAGTAATTGTAACTCTTCTCTTCATAACATCATTTAGAAAAGAATCCAGGATGTCACATAGAGAAAGAAACATCATTCTTGCCTTTCCTAAATATACACACCATCTCTGCACTACCTCCTCAGAACAGCAGTCTGGGAGATACTATGCACAATTTTAGCACAGAGCAACTATCTGTTCCTGATGCTGGTTTAAAATATAAACATGAACCCCCCAGAAAGCCTCATAAAATATACAGACCCAGCTGGAAATTCCCTTTCCCTTATTTTACCCATTGTTTTCTCATACAGGTTATAAGTACATGTCCTTGGCCCTGAACAGAACTGGCAGAAGCATTGTATACTCCTGTGAGTGGCCTCTTTATATGTGGCCCTTTCATAAGGTGAGCTAGTGAACCCAGAATCCAATTTTCAGAACTTGAGAATGAAGGATACAAGTTTCCCTCAAAGCCCATCCACTTTCACCATCCCCACTACTGTAATTATAGTCTAATGTACCACCACCTAGGAAGTTGTCTTTGATTCTTCCCTTTATGTCACCATTCATGTCCTGTTCATCAACACTCCTGCCAGTTCTTTCTCCAAAATATGTCTTCAGTCAGCCCACCTCTTTCCCTCCTCTGCTTCCACTCTGGCCTCCCAAGGTACTCTCATTTTTCACTTAGACTTCTCTGACAGCCTGATCCACTTCCAGCCCTCTTCCCACCTCCATCAATTTTCCAAGCAGCACCAACATTATCTTGTTAAAATGGCATCTTTATCAGTTCCCTACTTAAAATCCTTACCTGGCTTCCCATTGCACTTGGAATAAAGTCAATTTCCATTGATCTGGCCCTTAGCTGCCTCTCCAACCTCCAAGGAATGATAGCTCTTTATTTTTTACTGTTTTTCTTCCTACCCCTCAAACACTACTAATATTTTTACACTTGCTTGTTGTTTTATTCTAGAAGACATCTTCCCCTAAGATTTTTAAAGCGTAGACTCCTTAACATTCAAGTCTCAGACCAGATGCCACATACTGAAGACAATTCTTCTCTAATTACTTTAAAATAGCCCTCTTTCCATTATCACATTAACCTGTTTATTTGTAAAAGCTTAGCACTATTAACTTATTGTATGTCTCCCACTAGAATGTAAATTCCATGAGGGCAGGGAACTTGTCCTACTTTATCACTGTTATTGATAGCATATGGTAAGTATTGAATAGTTATGAAATAAATTCCTATTATTTTCTTGAAAGCCCCCCAAAATAGTCTCACTTTTTCTTCATCTTGCACCTCAGATCTTCCACCTGTCTACAGACTTTAATTAATTCCATTAACAAATTATATGCTTAGGACTCAAATTTTATGTTTGATGCAGTACTATGTAGTTTGCAGCTTATTTTTACTTGGTAAGAGCATATTAGTTAATTCTAATTATAAAAATAATGTTAATTTTACAAAAGTTTGGAAGTAAATACTCTTCCATAATGCCAATGCTTAGATAGCATTTGGTAAATTTCCAGCATAAACAGTATTCAAGTAATTTTAATCCCTTATTAAAGAAGTATTGCCTACTTCTGAAGCATACTTCTTATAATCTTGAGACTTCTTCATGGGGACCTTCAATCTGTAAACTAAAGGTTACAAGTGCCTCATTTAAATTGGGCTGTTTCCATCACACAAGGAAACTGAACAGAACCATTTTACCTGTTTTCACAGCCTAATTACACAAAAATCCGACAGTACTGCAATCACTGGAGAAATTTTGCTGATGTTTATGATTCTTGGGAAAGTGTGAAGAGTATCTTGGAATGGACATCTTCTAACCAAGAGAAAATTGTTAATTTTGCTGGACCAGGGGGTTGGAATGACCCAGATATGGTAAGGACTTGAGTCTTCCTTGTTCAAGACCAATAGTAGGCCTGTTTCCTGTTTGACATCCAAGGAAAATGGAGGTAAAGTTCCTGGGAGGAGGCTAGCTATATTTAGAGTAGGATTCTTTAGAAAGTAGCTTTACTCTGTGGTTAATCAAGGTAATTCTATAAATGTTTGGCCTTCTCTCATTTTTGTCCCAGTTAGTGATTGGCAACTTTGGCCTCAGCTGGGATCAGCAAGTAACTCAGATGGCCCTCTGGGCTATCATGGCAGCTCCTTTACTCATGTCTAATGACCTCCGACACATAAGCCCTCAAGCCAAAACTCTACTTCAGGATAAAGATGTGATTGCCATCAACCAAGACCCCTTGGGCAAGCAGGGGTACCGCCTTAGAAAGGTAATGTTCTGTGGGAGAAAATAGTCCAGGAACTTATTCTCCTTCTTTCTGTGGTTACAGATCAGCTGAAATTTAAGGTAGGTGTGTTAAGGTGGTCTTTTTATTCCCAAGGATCATTCGTTATGGGCCAAAATCTGTTACATGAGGACATGACTGATCTTTCTTGAGAACACTGGTTTTTCCTTAATCTTTATGCCATAATCCATAATAAGGCTTTTTGCTAGAATCATTACTTTCCAAAGTAATCCAGAGGGGTACTCCACCACTAAGTTACATCCTAAGACCTTTGAGACTGGGTCTTGCTAAGTTGCCTTAACTGGCCTAGAAATTGTGATCCACCTGCCTCAGCCTCCCAAGTAGCTGGGATTACCAGGCATGCAACACTGCAACCGGCATGTGCTTGAAAGTTCTGAGAGTATGACTGAATGCCAAAGTAAAAAAAGTAGCTCATTGCTAGTTATCAAGCAATCACTCCTATCTTCTTTTCTTTTTAGGAAAACAACATTGAGGTATGGGAACGACCGCTCTCAAACTTAGCCTGGGCTGTAGCTATGACAAACCTACAGGAAATTGGTGGACCTCGTTCTTACATCATCTCAATTGCTTCCCTGGGTAAAGGAGTGGCCTGTAATCCTGGTTGCTTTATCACACAGCTCCTCCCTATGAAAATGGAGCTTGGGTTCCATGAATGGACTTCAAGCTTAAAAACTCGTATAAATCCCACAGGCACAGTTTTGTTTCGGCTAGAAGCAAAAAGAAGACTGCATCAAAAAGCTTAAATGTACTTTAAGTTTTATACTTTCTCCAAAGGGACTAGCCCACTTTTCTACTTTTTTTCCTCCATTTCCACTTTAAAAAAGCTGTTTCCTTGAATAAAATTTCTCAAAGTTGGAAGTTTAAAAGAGCTACTTCAAAAGTTATTCTAAAGAGAACTGTTTGGAGAAGGGCTTTTGAAACTAATGCACTAAGAAATAACAGCCATAATTCATTGGATACTTCTGTGCCAGATTCTAATAAATGCTTTCAAGGTGCTGATTTATTTTAACCCTCCGTCCTGAAGTAGGCAGTTATTCACTGTACTACAGAACCTGGACTTAAACCCCAGCTGTTAATCACTACTGCCAAACAAGGTACTTGGATGGTTCTACTTATAATTTCAGTGCAAATGGAAAATAAAATCTGCCATCTCAGTAAGACAAGATGATTGCCAGGTGAACTGTGATAAATTCCCAGGGTTATCTGTAATCTACATCTAACAAATAAAGGTGGCTTACTTTCACCAAGAATAACTAGATTTATGACGCCCTTAAAATGAACTGTTACATCTCAAGGCCCCATGAGGAGGCAGTGATCTTCAAACCTGGGATATCCAGACATGGATAAATGCAAGGTTAACATCTGGTCACTCTTAATTCACAACTGGTTTGCCTGAGAACATATCTGTAGCCAAGGCTGCTCCTTTTCCACCTCCCTTTTATTACAACTGTTCTCCAACATGAGCAAAAACAGAAGTATGAACCTCACCTATCAGGAGCACTCTGGAAATACATGCCCTTAAATCCTGAACAAGAGATCCTGAACAATTATTAAACCCCTCAATAACTTGGGCTTAACCCACAGGAGCCTACATCTTTATTAATATTTCCCACTGCTCATTCTCCTACAGGAGAGAGATGATGACCATTGGGAGTTATTGAATGGCTCCACTTAGCTCATTCCTCTCAAAAGTCATTGACTCCATTTCATGATTATGTTGCTCAGTTGGTTATTAAAGGTAGAACGCAAGTTTTACAGCTGGTTGGATCAGAACCTGATATTATTATCCCTTATTCTATTCAACAGAATGTTTGGCTTTTCCAAACTTCTAATACTTGGCAAGTAGCTTTTGCTAATTTTCCTGGTTAGATAGAAAGTCATTATCCTCATGATAAAATTACTCAATTTGCTTTAGTAACTACATTTGTTTTTACACAAATTGTGCATGCTCAACCAATAGTTGGGGCATTATCAGTGTTCACTGATGGGTCAAGTTCAGGTAAAGCAGGTTTATATAGCCATGCTCATATAGAGGTAATGCAAACACCATATACTTCTGCACAATGAGCAGAACTTCAGGCTCTCATTTATTCTTTAAATCATTTTGCAAATGAGTCTAAATATTGAATAAATATTTTCTGATAGTTTATATGCAGTTGCAGTTAGAAAAATATTGAAACTTCACCTATTGGGTACACACCATCAAGAGAGTTATTCAATTTCTTTCATACCTTGCAGAAGACAGTTCAAATGTGTCAACATCTCATCTTTTATAGACCATATACGGCCCACACTAATCCTCCAGGGCCTTTAACATCAGATGATAAGATAAACTGGTTGCTGTTTGTCAGCAACTGTCTTTGTATGGCTGTGCACACACTTCACGTTCTTTGCATCATCAAAATGCATCTAGTTTGTGTAAAAAGTTTAATATTACTAGAGAGCAATGTGTCAAATTGTACATCAATGCTCACAATGTGTTGTACACATTCTATCTTTACCATCTGAGGTAAATCCCTGCAGGTTACAACCAAATCAGTTATGGCAAATGTCTATAATTCAATTCCTCAATTTAGCCAACAATGTTATGTACATGTAGATACTTATTCTGGATTTATCTTTTGTGAGCTCTTGGACTCATAATACTTGGGAGTGGCTAGTTTCATTTATTGCTTCCATGGTCATCTCAAAATATTCAGCATGCAGATTTTCTTAATAATTTGGCTCAGAACACTTCCAAAGCTCTTTTTAATCAGATAAATATTGAGGAAAGGATTGAAACTAAGCGAGATGCCTTGGAAGCTACTGTCATAATATTGGTAATGAGCTTTCTAAAAGTTCAAGGAAAGACTCAAATGTCATGCTGATTATAAATGCTTATTACTGCTGCCAAATACCTTGTTTCCTAATGGGATTGGGAAGTTAAAAAACATTTATTAGTATTTGGCAGAATAATAACAGCTTGGATCTTTTGGAGTTACATCATCATACTCAAGATATACAAAAAGTGATTGATATTTCGGATCCTACTTCAAGAGTTAAATGTGTTTTTTTTTTTTTAAAGAGAGAGTGAGAGAATTTTTTTAATATTTATTTTTTAGTTCTTAGCGGACACAACATCATTGTTTGTATGTGGTGCTGAGGATCGAACCCGGGCTGCACGCATGCCAGGCAAGCGCGCTACTGCTTGAGCCACATCCCCAGCCCGAGTTAAATGGTTTTAATCCTGGAAACATAATGTTCTCTTTGCTATTAATCCTCTCTTGTATTGTAAAAATATGTCATGCCTTCAGAACAAGAATTCAGGAATTTGCAATAGCAACTCATCACCTACTTTTTCAAAGGAAGAAGGGGGAGTATGTTGGGAGCCACTCTGGAAACACACGCCCTTAAGTCCTGAGCAAGATATACTGAACAATTATTGCACACCACAATAACTTAGGCTTTACCACTGCTTGGATAATGAGACATGGCTCCAGGAGTAGGCGTTACCTGGTGGGGTTGAGTTACACTCACCTGTTCCTTTGTAATCCTACCCCTTGCCCCTTTTTTGGATAGAAATTCTAAGAAACAGCATCCCCCAATAAAAGCCAACTGCCGAAAGTGTGCTCCCTCTCTCATCAGCCTCTTATGACTCTCTTGCCCCCCCTTGTTGGAGCCTGAGGCCAGGAGCTGGGAAAGCCCTCCCGAAGCTCATATAAAAAGGTATTCTGTGTCTGCATGGTATTTTGGGTCACCCCAAATTCACCCGAGTGACTTTGGCCCAAAGGTATTCTTTGTCTGCATGATATTTTGGGTTACCCCAAATTCACCCAAGTGACTTTGGTTCAGTTGCCTGCACTTGGTGGGGGCAGCACTCACCCATTGTGAATGTTCATGCAATAGTACCAAAAGGGCCACCCAAAACAAAAATGCATGCTGGAATAATTATGCCTGTCATGTGATTTCACCAATTATTCTCATAAAAATTGAGAACATTCAGTTGATAAAAGCTGGAATAACATTGTTAAACACAGGGGTGAGGTTGTGGCTTGGTGGTAGGGCACTTGCCTAGCACTGGGTTGGATCCTCAGCATCACATTAAAAAATGTAAAGTATTGTGTCTGTCTTCAATTAAAAAAAAAATTCAAAAAGTTGTTAAACACACTCATCAATGAATAGATATACTATCTATCCAATGATCTTCCCACTGATAAAACTGCCATATTTGTTTCATTGTAAAGTTCTGCTGCTGAAATACAAAGAACTAATTTTAATCAATAAGACTGAAATGTAGGAATAAAAGAATGTATAACTTTAAGGTTTCTTTTGTTTCAACCAGAGATTGAACCCAAGGACACTTAACCTCTGAGCCACATCCCCAGCCCTTTCTGTTTTAGGCAGAATTTTGCTAAGTTGCTTGGGGGCCTCGCTAAATTGCTGAGGCTATGAATTTGCAATCCTCCTGCCTCAGGCTCCAGAGAGGCTGGGGTTACAGGCATGCACCACCATGACCTGCTGCTTAAGGTTTCTTAAGGCTATCAATACACTGGAAAGTTTGTAATATTTTTTTGTTGTTGTTATAGCACAACTTATATATTTCAAATGGACAAAAAATTAGTATCATTTACAGTATCTTAAGATAAATTGCCTTCGAATGGGAGCTTCCTTTCCAGTACTTTGAGGTCTACAAGACGCATCTAGAAAATTTACTACGGTGGAGAATGAAGACTGCTTAAATCGAATGGGGGAGGGCTGGTGGCGTTGCTTTTGATTAATTGCTGTAACACTGTCCTTCCGGAGGCTGGGGGAGTTTCATATTTTCTTTAGACATCATTAAGCGCCGCAGCTCTTGCAGAACAACTTTGATGCTATATGAATTCTGCCACTTTGCTAGCACTGATATGGCTCTTGGGTGTAATATTTTACACTTATCCAAACATGATAAAAATGTCTACTTTAAAATGTTAAAAGGTTAGCCTCACCAAGTGAGGTGGCACACACTTGTAATCAACTACTCTGGAGGCAAAGCAGAATGATCCCAAGTTCAAGGCCAACCTGGGCAACTCAGAAACACCCCATTTCAAAATAAAGGGCTGGGGCTGAGTGACAGAGCACTTGCTTAGCAAGTAAGAAGCCCTTTGTGCAATCCACAATACAGTCCTCCCAAAAGTTTAAAACTACAATGGCATGTCAAAATGATTAATTGGGGAGCCTGGAGACCTTTTATACATTATAAACACATACTCTGCGTAGGTTTTTTTTTTTTTTTTCAGTGCTGGGGATTAAACCAAGAGCCTTACATGTGCTGGGCAAACAGCACTGTACAACTGAGCTATGTATCCAACCCCCAAAAATCCTTATGAAATGTGTAAGTACCAGAAGTATGAGATTATTTTTATCTCGGTAAACTTTTTCTACTTAGATAAAATGAGAACCAATAACTTTTGCTTAACAGCAACTGGGATCCCATGAACACACAAATTGCCAAATTAAATAATCACACATTTGATATGAGCTCAATCAGTCAAAATGTAGTACTCTAAACCATAATCACAAATTTCCCAGAACACCAAATGCAACCAAATTAAGCGAAGATAACCTCAACATTTTATTATCTTCATAACAAAACAAACGATGAAGCTTAGAACTGGATCACTTGGCCCTGTAATGAAGCAGAAAAAAAAATACTGAGTTTTTTATTTTGGAAAGAACCACCACTCCATCAATAACATCTTTTCTAAGAGATAATCATGCTATGTATGTATGTTGAAG